GGGGTGGAGATTAAAACTTTATACTCAATGAGCTCAAAAAATTACCAAGTTACTGTAAAACGATAGACCCAGGTTTTACTTGCATAAAACACATAAATGAATATCGGTAGAACGTTTTATTCCTCCGACTGAGCTAACAGTTACCCAAAGATCTTCGGCGCTAGAACAATAATTTAACCTTGGTATAACGTGCAGTACACGACGAACTGCAACCTTTAACACCGCCCCCTCTAGTTAGTCCTGTGGCGTTGTAATTTCAATCCCTGTGAAATACTACATATCGACTGTCAAGCAATTCGCCATCCAAAACACTTTATACTAACCGTGTTCCCGTAATCACAATAACGTCAAATGAATTCGAACATACATTGCGATAAAATAAATTAATTTTCGATCGGAGACCGTGAGCATTTTGATAATATACACTTAAGTTATTAAAATTACTGAAGATCAATCTATAACGTAATAAAGTGTCAAAATAAACACCACGTGAAATTTGTAAATCGAAAAACGCCCCAAGAAAAAGCCAACACTAAGCAATTATAATAATAAGCACACAGGCAGTTCATTATTAAGCCAGCTAATATCAATAATTGATTTCTTTTAATGATTAATAGGCATTACATACGAACGAAAATATTATGTTTTAGGGAAATGTAAAACTTTATTAATTAATTTAGGACTGAAACTGTAAAAAAAGGAACTGTTTTTTTTTGTTAATATGATTGTTATTAATATTTTAATTTAAATTATTTGAAATTGAAATTAAATTTGAATTTGCTACACCATGTAGCAAATTGGTATAGCAAAACGAGCAGGCAAAATCCTATTCAATTTTATTGACGGCCACAATAGTGAACAACAGAACCGGTTATACTAAACAAGTAAGAAAATGGTTGTCAATGTTGTGACTAAACTTTCGAATATAAAATTTTTATAAAAAATTAAATGATAAGATCAATATTTTTTTTAATAATTTAGTTGCGTTTGAATATGTTATATAAAAGAGATGTAAAAGGTAATACAATTATCGCCTATTCAACCATTAACAATAGCACGCAAATGTAGTAAAAGAAGACACTATAAGCACTGATTAATCCACCCAGGCTAACATTCAGTTTCCATAGTCTAAGAACTCATGCAACGAATAAAAGGAACACTCAGCAAGCCAGTTATATAACTCTCTTTTAAATCTAGTAAAAGGTGTATTCGTTATAGATTCCGGAATCTTATTAAATATTGTTTGACACATACAGTAGCAGTTATTTTTAAATCGCGCGCTTTTTGGGACTACATCAAGAACTGTTTTTATTTCTAGTGTACTTGGGATACACTTCATGAGCTATTTTGTAATAATCAGGGTATCGTTTGGCAAATTTCGCTGCTTCAAATATATATAAGCAAGGAAGAGGTAGAATACCAAAAAATTTAAATCATTGCTTACATGAGACGTCGAGAGCGAAACCACATATGGATCTTATGAATTTTTTCTGGGCAATAAATAACCTTTGCACATCTGTACCATTGCCCCAAATAATAATTGCATAACGTAAAATTGACTCCACATAAGCGGAGTATGCTGTGAGAGCCTTACTTCTTGTCGCTACTCTCGATAATTTAAATAATGCAAATGAGAAGCTATTATAAACAATTATCTTATTATAAACGATTTATGCATATTGTTTGCAATCTAGTTTCTTGTCAATAGTTATGCCTAAGAATCTTAGGTTATAAGCTTCTTCAAGTGTGCATTTTTGGTATTTAATAATCAAGTTATTAGAAAAAAAAATATTAAAATTTAGAAATTAAGTTATTAAAATTCATAAATTTTTAATTTTTGTGAAGAATAAATTAAATAATTTTATGTATAAATTAAATATGTTTAAATCCGATTCCTTGGCAATAACCATAGCCGGCGAAGCGTCGTTTTTACTGATATGAATTTTAAAAAAAATTACCCAGACTTAAAAAAAGGTTTTTTCTTTAGCAACTCTTCACAAATGTTAATAGTTTCTTATTTTCCGGAGTTGAATTGTCGTTAGTAAATATTTATGCTGAAGCCAAGATCATAGCCAAGATCAATCGCCGTAATAAGTTATTTCAAGCGCACTGCAGCCACAAACTTCAATTGTCTTTTACATATCGGTTTATGAAACTCACAACCATATGCTTCTTCTTAGCATCATAAGTTGGAACTCTCGCAATATAATTTACTTGGTTTTTAGTAAACGAGTAGTTAGTGACTTTTGACAACTTCCCCAATATTAAGAATAGATTTTCGTCTCTTTTTATAGGGATGCCTTTTATTTCGATGTTGTTGAGTCTCGCCCACTGCTCTCCTGAAGCACTTTCTCGCTGAAGTTGAAGAAGTGCTCACTTACTCTGCCTATAAGAGAAGATTTGTGCTCAATTTCAGTGTTCAGTGAGTCTAGTTTCTGATTTATTCAATGTAATACTGTTGAACTCACAGGAGGTTTTAAGATCAGAAAGTTTATTTTTTATCGATTCAACTGCAAACACGAGACGTGGTAATTAAGAAATATGTTTTTTCATACCTTGTAACTCGTGGAACAGTAACTCAAGCGTGACTGAACCTGAGGGGATATCGCTAGGACTTGAAAGAGGTGTGTTAATCTCAAAAGATTTATCACTGAAGGTCTGATCTGTAATGTTCAAGGAGAGACGAACAGGCGTAGTGGGAGTGCTTTTGGTCACTTTACATTGCGGACATCTCCATGTTGCCTGGAAGTCATGGCCAAGTCTTCGATATCCCACTTTATCTATGTTAGCGGATTCAATATCCAGATGTCTCTTTTATACATACCTTGCAGAATACTCCATCATTAAAATACTGAAATTTGAGAAACACCGGTTTTCTAGACAATTGTGGTATACGTCCTAACTAAGTATGCACTTAACGCTTACTGACTTTATTATGAAACTGTTCGCAATCGTACTGTACCATTCGATGAAAACTAACTTAACTAGTTTATTACCGACTCGATCTCGTGTGAGATAAACTATATGCAGTAGAACCTCGATAACTCAAACCTCGGTTACTTAAAAACCTCTATAACTTCAAAAAATAATATGTTCCAAAACCTCAATTATTTAAAATACGCAACCTCTGTAACTTAAATAAGTAATCTCTGTGTTGGCCCTCGGTAACTTAAAGAAATATTTTCAGAAAATTATTTGTCAATGAGTCATTTTGAAAGAGTGTGCAAAACATAAGGTTTCGGTATTTATTGCTTGCACGTGTTCTCTAGTTAAATTGTTAACGTAAAAAATACATATGTCACCTATTGTTTGCTTCTTCGAAATTCTTTAAATCGATATAGAAACTGTGAATTGTTTAAAACCAAAAAAACATCACAGATTTTTTAAGTAGACTAAACCTTTAATTGTTGTTTTATTTTTATTAAACGGGTGCAAAGTGAATAAATAAATATGATTATTTAAATTTTTGTATTTTATTGAACAAGTCCTTACGATTTAATAAAAATATAATAAAAACGATATAATTTCATAGAATCGTTACATTTTATAATAATTATTTTATTAGCCAAGATGAACTGCTTTTGGAAAAATAATCAACGAAGAAGTTTACACGAACACAAAATTAAGACTACTATGTGCGCATTTTAATATGCAAAAACTGCATCAAAAGGTTCCTTTGACCTTTTCAAATAATAACCAACAGTAAATTATTCAATCAGTAAATTAACGAGCCAAGCTAAATGTATTGCTTAACTGCATCATAACTGTTACTATGTATAATGGTTTTGATCTAAGCGCTATTTTAACACATATTTTACACAATCCTGACCTCTTCTAGAAACTGACCTCTTCTTATTTCAATTAGAAGTAAAAAAAAAAAAATATCTCCGATACCGAGAAATGAATTTCATATCGTATAAAAGAATAACGATGTAAAACAAAAGGTAAAAATAATGTGAATTTATAAATCGAATTACTCCCAAAACTTATGCATTTGTGACCTTACTCATACTAGTATTTCGCTATTTCTGTCATAGGTACTCATATTGTTTTCTAGTGTTAACAATTTTGTGAATGAATTATATTAAAAATATTTACTGTCACATTCATGATGGAAATTGAATTCAAAAGATTCTATTCATTTAAAAACGAAACCAAACTTGTTCCAAAATAATAAAATGGTGAAAATATTAAATATAATTTAACGCCGTGAACATCGTGCCGCATTTTTCAAAATAAATTAATTTGCCAGTGTGGCTAAAGGTATTTTGCAATACCTTTAGCCACACTGGCAGGCTAGTCGCTAATAAAACAAGTAACATTAGTAAAATTAATAACTACTTACAATATTTAGCCACTTGAAGTTGGGATTCATACAGAAACGATGAATCATCGTGTGCTATTTACAAGATCACAGGTCATTTATGACCCTTTCTTGTCGACCAATCACAAACAAGAAGCTTATCTATATTGCCAAAACCTTTATGAAAATATGCAATTGCGGACTCCTCATAACGGTTTCTGCAATCGTCGACACGTGTTGTTATTTTAGTGTTAGCAATATTAGTGGTTAAATTGTGATTAGAAATTTAACGGTAAGTTTTTTTCTTATTTAATTTTTCCTTGAAATGGCGATAGACACCTAAGTTTCAAATGGTGCAATCAATTTTTTCATTAAAATAAAAAGTACATAATAATGATAAAATATTTAAAGTTTACATGTTTTCAAATGATATTAATAAAGTGTCTTCATTTAATGTTCATATACACCTAAAGTGTTTAGCGTTGAAGTACATTTACGCTGAGACTGCACTAAGTACTAGTCAAAATTCATATTATTTAACAGAGGAGTAATATTTACTCCTAGGAGGTAGTAAGTAGGTATGCTTTGTAGTTAACTTATATTGAAATTTAAATTTTAGCGTTTTGGTTTATAAAAAGTTTATTATAACATGTAATGCTTCTATGAAACTTTATCGTTTTTTATTGTCTATCGACAGATGTCTGTGCGTATATGGCTCGAAGTGGGGCACTCGTGCGGACCACGAAGTACTCCGCGGGGGCATGCAAAAGTGTTTGACTGGCGGCTGTGGGTACGCGGGGCAAACGGTCGCGATATTAGCGCTTTCGTGCACAAAGTCGTCTTCATTCTACGTCCTTCTAGCGCGTTTGTTTACCCTAAAAGAGGTTTGTACCTTTTTCAATATTTTCAATTACTTTACTTTTAATTTGATTAGTCTACAGTAATTGTAATAAAATGCAATCTTTCAAATAAAATTATGCCACAAGTACGATTTGCTGGTCTACATTTTATCTTACACTGATCGAGTCAGTACTAAACTAGTTAATTTTCACCGAATGTTACAGTCCGACTGCGATCAGTTTTATTATAAAACTGGCACTTATCGATATCGCACATACTCTGTAACCTGTCACGATGCTCATATTTATCTCCGCTACTTAACTGCGTATTGGCTTAATGTTTACATTAAAATTTTCCTTCGCAGTGCTTCCGGAGCCGCCGTACGAGATCGAAGAGACGGGCAGCATGTCTTTAGACATACCGATCGACGTGTACCTAAAACACAGCAAGCAAAAAAAGATTCGCCTGCGTTATAGTCTAGTAATTGAAGATGACACGAAGAGTACCGATAAATCTCAGTGCGTGTCCATCAACGTGGAGAAACCATCGAAACTGTTGTGGAAAGCACTCATAGCGGCAGGCGGCGAGGCGGTAGAGCAAACCAATAGGAAGCACCGCAGTGATCGCCTGGTGATAACACCTGAAACACATTCTGGACCTCCCCTGTCACGATACCAACTTGTGGAACCTGTACAATGCAAGCATGTTCTGCGAAGTCCATCGCCGTATGCCCTCGAAGATACTTGTATCAAATGTGGTGAGTCGCAGATCGAGTTAAAAAAAGAGCTGCGCATGGCAAATATGACCGAGGATGAAATAGATCATGCTGCGCAACTGTATGTTTCTTTCTCCGATTACGAAAAGCATTTGGATGCGATCACATTGCCGCCGTTCTCTGACCCTATTTTTAATATACCGGAGTTGCCGGCGTCGCTGCAGGAAATGCTGAAGAACGCTGAAATCGAAAAGCCTGAGCTTTGAGTTGTTGATATCAAAAGCCTCCCGCCTTTCTGGTGATATTAAAATTGTGATATTTAGTCCCATTTTGATTCAGATCAAAATGTTCTAGTGATATTTCGTACATTGTGCAATTTTTATATAATCATATACCTGAAAGGAATAATTGAGCAATACTTATACCTAAAAGTGCCTTTATTGATATGTAACCTAGAGTATTAGTTTTAATTGTGATAATGTTAGGATATTATTAAATTTTCAGCGTTGTGAATATGATCTTCTATATTTTAAGTATTGTGTAAAGAATAGTATTATATAAAGAATAACTTTATACCATCAGGAAGACGGTGTCTTTCTGGTGGTATTAAAATTGTGATGTTTAGTACCAGTATGATCTGATGTTCTAGTGATATTTCGTACATTGTGCAATTTTTGTTAAATCGTAAACCTAAAAGGAATATTTGAGAAATATTTATACCTAAAAGTGCCTTTATTGATATGTAATCAAGAATATTTATTAGTTTTAATTGTGAAAATGCTAGGATATCATTAAACTTTCAGCGCTGTGCATACGATCTCCAATATTTCAAGAATTATATAAAGAATCACTTGTGGATTTCATCATGATAAATTTAATTTGTACATGATGATACGAGGGTCAAACTGAAAGTTCTTAGAAAATCAAAAACTGATTACATTAGCCAGTTATTAGTTTTATTATATCTTTTCAAAATATTGTCCATTCACGTCAATACACCGCTGCATGCGATTTAACCACTGGGAAAAGCACTTTGCGCACTCGTCCTTAGGGGTCTCTTCAATGGCATCGCGATACGCAGCCACCGCTTCTTCAGCATTCATAAACCGCTTTCCTTTAAGTTTTTCTTTAATTTTTGGAAATAAATAAAAATCACAAGGCGCGAGGTCGGGGCTATACGGCGGGTGACCCAGTAATTCAACGTTTGATGTCGCCAAATAGTCGATCGTTCGCTTGGCGGTGTGCGACGAGGCGTTGTCGTGGTGAAGGAGGATCCTACTGCGAGGTCGTTTCTCTCGAACTTTTTCCAAGACAACTGGCAAACAATTGGTAGTGTACCATTCTGCAGAAACTGTTTTTTGATCCTCTAACACAATTGTTGCAAAATGACCTATCCTTCCAAAGAACGAGGCCACCATTTTTTTTCCCGCACTTCGATCTCTCTTCACTTTAGTTGGCAACTCCCCGAAAGGAAACACCCACTGAGCAGATTGTCTTTTGGTTTTAGGATCATAACAGTAAATCCAGCTTTCGTCACCAGTTAGTATGTCGAACACAGCATTTGAGTCACCTCCGTTAAATCTTTCAATCATTTTACGACACCAATCCACACGATGGAGTTTTTGAGCCTCAGTCAAATTATGAGGTATCCACCGGGCGCAAAGCTTCCTGACCGCTAAATGTTCGTGGAGGATTTTGTGCACTTGACTCATACCGATGCATAAGCTTGTCCGAATCTGTTGATAGGTCACTCTTTTGTCAGTCTCTATCATACGCCGCACAACACAGATGTTATCTTCAGTCGTCGCCGTAGAAGGCCGTCCCTCACGTAAATCATCAGTGAGATTAGTGCGACCACGTTTAAACTCATTAAACCAGTTGTAAACAGTCGCACGAGATGGGGCTTCATCGTGAAAGGCCAATCGTAGTCTATCATAACTTTCTTGTTGACTTAAATGACATCGAAAGTCATAAAAAATCATTGCACGAAAATTTTCTCGTGTTAAATTCATGATGACGTGACACAGACAATTTTCAATTTGCCGCCAAATCGTAAAACAAATGACAAATGAATGAAATATATACTCAGTAATATTGGCAAAGAGTTATATTTTCAAATTTTAGAATTATTTTTTTATTATATTGTTTATAAGTGGCCAGTTCTAAGAACTTTCAGTTTGACCCTCGTACATGTAATGCATTTGGCACCTAAAATAAAAAAGTTTTATTGGAAACTGCATTTTAATTGAATTCATAAAGTATTTTATAAAAGTACTAGCTGTGCCCGCGACTTCGTCTGCGTGGGAAGTATTTTGCTAGAATTTTTTTTTTTCCTATGAATGGAGTCGAATCGAATAATATCAATGGGCCATAACCCTCTATGCTGACTTAATGCGGATCGGTGGGTGTTAACTTTGCTGATGTAGCCAGGACTAACGGCTTAACGTGCATTGTGCCAGTATTATGCACAGTACTCAAAATAAAAATGTTTTGATCACCCATCCTGTGAACGGTCCTTACTAATGTTATTTTTCTATCTTTTTTCTCGTTTCTCGCGCTCTGGTTGTCACTTGTGTCTGAGCATTTTTTTCGTACCTTTAAACTGTCCTTCTTTTGTTTTTGATCTTTTAAAATTATTATTATTCCGTCTAGTTATATGCGCAATCGGCTATTTATTGTTCTATTTTCCATGTAATGCTATGTTGCATGGAAGAAATCGCTGGCTAGCGATGAGTTTGTCGTTTGTACTTAGTTATGTAAAAAGGTATTCATGTATGCAATATTTCCTTACTTACATATTTAACTGCAATTTAAACTGAATTTGCTATCCCAATACGCCATTAGATCTCTTATACCTAAGCTATACTAATATTATAAAGAGTAACGATTTGGTTGTTTGTTTGTTTGCATTGAATTTGCTCCAAAACTACTGGTCTCGATAGTTTCAGAACGATTCCGCGGTACGATATATCAGACGCGGATATCATAGGCTATATAATTTTGCGGCAAAGTCGCGGGACACCTGTGGAGTATGAAGGTAACACGGGTTAGCGATAATCAAAACTACTTTCTCGATCTCTATTGTGCAAACTGCGAGCTCTTTTAGAGACCAAGCGCATTTCTCTATCAAAGGAAGTTTCATACTCATACCATACTACATGTATGTTACGATCAGCAGTTAGACGCGCTATGCGATCTTCAGAAGTTTCCTGATATATGGTGCTTAAGCCTTTTCGGAAACCGGCTCGTTCGGGAGGCTGGAAGTCATCAAACTGGCGTTCGAGACGCTTCGTAACGACCCTCGAAAACAGCTTATAAACGTGGCTCAGAAGCGAGATTGGTCTATAATTCTTCAACAAGGTCTTGTCACCTTTTTCGAAGAAGAGCACAACCACGCTTCTGTGCCATGCTTCTGGCGTCGTACCCTCGAGAATAACGGAATTGAACAATTTCTGGAGGACTAAGAGTACCGGTTTTCCACCCGCTCGCAAAAGGTCAGTAGTGATTCCGTCATCCCCCGGTGCCTTGTTGTTCTTGCGCTGTTTGAGGAAATTCGTCTGTTAAGTCGACCATATTCCGACATATCGGTTGAAGATTGCAGTCTCATATCCCTCCGGTCGCTTGGCAGGCGACTTGGGGATCGCAGTAGGTGGTGGTAGGTGATATCGGGAGGCGCTGCTGCCCGCCTTCCGTATAATCCCTCTGTCGGCTCCTACGACACCCACGGGAGGATATGGGGGGGTGCTACTCTTAGGCCGGCACCCCATGGCTTAGTCCCCTTGCATATGGAAAATAAGAGAGGCTTGGGTAAATCGAGTGCCTCTCCCAGACAGACGAAACCGTGCAATGCGGGGGCGGCTGCCAACCACCTCCTCTGGCAACGACGACGACGTGAATCTAATCTGATAAAAATATGCGTTCAATGTAAACTACTCGATGCTTAATTGCATCATCGGAAGGCTCTTTTCGCTTGTTCTCCTACTCGCGTGATCGTATACCACACGTCCATTATAAGGTTAACCCTATGTAATATGATTGGCCATATATAAATTAGGTCAACTTACTTCGGAGTAGTCAAAATTTTCTAATCGTAGCTCGGTGGCGCTACGGATAAGCACCGCTATGCACAATTGCTAATGCTAAGCGATTTTCGCAAAAGTTGTTCACGGGATGGGTGACCAAAAATTATTAAACATAGGCCTGAGGCCCTGCAGCTTGGCTGTGAAAGAGTTAATTATCTATATATCAAAGACGAGAATTTAATAAAACACTTAATATTTCATAGCAATTTTGACGAACACGTCACTTCAAATTGATATAACTTTTTTATTTGTGATCCGATTGAAATAAATCTTACACTTAATGTTAACGGAAAAATACCACAATATAATAGTGAAAACTGCATTTAAATCGGTTCAGCCGTTTCGGAGATTATCGTGCACAAACGCACAGACAAACAGACAAAAAAAATAAAAATCGTTGTTTTGTGTTCTATTACGCTTATAAATGTCCCTCATAACAGTTTTTTTTTCATATATCTTCAATGTACAGACATCGATCAGTTACGTTTTTATTATAGTATAGATTACATCTCACATATCGTTACAATTTTTATTTTTTCAGTACATATAGCAACTATGCCTACAGTGCTATTAGTAGGAATTCAAATTAAATATTAAATATTTGAGTACCAGAGACTTAAAAGCATGACTTAAAAGCATATTCAGGTATAAAAAGTTACAACAAAACATATATGAGCAAAATAAACATAACAACATATAAACCTATAGTTCCATACATATTTACTTAACAATACGGAATCGGTAAACAAAAACAAAGCATATTGAATGAAGTGCATGTTTAAACAAATGTGAAAAACATTAAGTCATGTCGTTATTAATAAAAAGTGTTTCTATACTACTATAACCTGGCGCAACTATACCTAAATGTTACCCGTTTAGGCGCTGCAAGTGTCTCGACTCGAACAATCAGAACAGTATGCCAGTACGCGACGGGCCACTCGAGGAGCAGTCGCATTGAATTCTTAATGAGAGGTCGTAACATATATGCGCCAAGTGACAACATCAATAAACAAAAATTTTATAAAAAAAAACATTCAAAGTAAAAGTGAGGTGGTTTTCTACATGCCGAAAGCCATGAGAAGCAACTAAGGAAAAATTGAATATATAAGGCAATGATCGTTGCATAATAGTAAATGCATTATAGGTAATACAAAGTACGAGATAATCAAGGACGGACCCTTAGT